GTGTGGGTTCGGGAGGCGGGAGGTTTTTGTGTCCTTCCCGTTAAAGAATTTTTGTTTTTGGTTCCTTCCCACCATCGCCAACTGCTTGCTTATAGGGAATCCAAAGGCAACTTTGGATTGTTGGATTGTCTGTTCTTTGTTTAAAATTTGTAAGATCCTCAACTTACTATGTCAAGTGCTATGAGATGACATGTGTTGTGAATAACAAATAAATAAAACTGTATGGAAATTGAAGTGAAAAATACAATTGCAAATACCTGTTTAAAATGTACTCTTTAACCTGAGTAACACATTGTAGTGTAATGTAAGTGGTTCTTTATCCTTTTCAATATATTATATGACAAAATCATTTATCCTGCCAATAATCCCTGTTTAAAAAATATATATATCAGCCGTATCCCGACTACATCTTTTTTTCTGTGACTGTAAGTCTTGTGAAGTCAAGGTGGCGCTGCAGATGGCTGCCTTGGTGTATCGGTACGTTCTGTTTCATCTCGTTTTGTCATGGTACCAGGAGCTCTTCAGCCAGGAAAGAGCTGACAAATTTCAGGGAAACAACACCAGGGGATTTATTGCGGACTTTTCTCATCAATGGACATATTGGACATTCTGGTCAAAGGTGTAATCGCCTTCCTAACGTCGTAAAACATTGCCGAAGAGGAAAGAACGTTGGTGCACTTGTGACTTGTACTGACTGGGGTCTAATCCCCTCTGTGAGGAGGTTGGTGCCCATTAGGGCCAGTACTTCATGACTAGGGTTAGGCATCAAGAACTGGTGGGGGGGCAGAGCCTATCCCAGCTAACTTAGGGCAAAGGCAGGGGCTTGCAACACTTTTTAAATCTATATGTTACGGTTTATTGCAATAAAATCTTTCTAATTCTGATTCTGATTCTGATTGACTGATCCTTTGCCACCTAATCGGCTGAAACACAACCTTATCTGCATTTTTTTCCCACCTCAGCTCAAAAATGTTCAGTTAGTCCCAAGAAAGTTCCAACCTTTATGTCTAGTGTTTGATTCTGCTCTCGTGCTGGCTTTGCACTGTCAGGAAAACATGAGTCCTTATTGCTTTGCAAACCCCATACAAGATAAAGCTTCTGTTAAGAGGTCTTTCACTGTGTCNGTGACAAGATGGCACCGGTGAGTGCGGCAGCCGTCGTACCTGCTCCGGCACCATTGCAACTTTTTAAAAATTGTTTTACAAGAGACTGCAACATCATCTGCCTGACGGAGACATGGCTGACCCCCACCATACCGGACCATACCGTTCAACCAGCGGAGCTCTTCACAGTTCATCGTATGGACTGAACGGCTGAGTCGGGTAAGTCTAGAGGCGGGGGTGTCTGTCTCATGACCATCAGCAACTGGTGCAGAGATGTTGTGTGTCTCTCTAAGTCCTACTCACCCAACCTGGAACTTTTAACCATCAAATGCCGGCCTTTCTACCTCCCCTGGGAATTCACCTCCGCCATTTTCAGTGCCATCTACATTCACCAGCAGGAAATTTAAGAGTGTGCGTAAATACAAAACAACCCATATTTATCAAACATGTGTACGGGGGTCGTACGCACATCAGTGTTGATTAATCCCACTTGTTCTTAACCTCCATGCTCGTGCACAGTGCCTTCAGAAACACCTCCAAATCACCATATACGGCAACAACACGCCTCTTTAAAAAGCAAATGAAGATTTATTTTTTCCTCACCTGTCGTCATCATCGTGGCAAAAAGGGTGAAAAAGAGGAACTTTTCTGAAACTGAGATCAAGGTACTTGTTAGCGAGGTTGAAGCAAACCAGAAAATATTGTTTGGTGTGTGAAATGTTGGGATAAGCAGCGAAAGAAAAAAATGCTGCATGGGACAAGATAACCACCACAGTTAATTCTGTTGGGTCAGAGGGCAGATCGCCGCAAGAAATTTTTGATGTTAAGCCAAAAAACACATCACAGCCCATAAAAGAGAAATGACTGCAACCGGAGGACGAATTAATACCGAACGTTCAACCAGTGGATAATTGTGATCACTACAGATGAGATGTTTTATTAACCATACTAAGTCAGCTACATCTCTGAACATCTTGTCTCAGAGTGATGCTGAAAAATTAGTCCATGCATGTACTTCTAACTTCTAGGAAAGACTATTGTAATTCCTTATTAT